TTTTTATAAAAAAAGAAGATAAATATATAAAGTAGATTTAAATAGAATAGAAAGTGCTAGAGTTAGAGGGTCAAATAAAGGTGGAACAGATGTGTTTTTAGTCGTTTCTTGAAGATGGTTAAGGACTCAGCTGCTCGGATTGATTTGGGCAGGTCATTCCACCAGGAGGGAACAGTTAATGAAAAAGTCTGTGAAAGTGATTTTGTGCCTCTTTTAGATGGCACAATAATACGCCGTTCACTAGCAGAATGTAAGCTTCTAGAGGGCACATAACTCTGAAGTAATGAATTTAGGTAAATGGGTGCAGAGCCAGTGGTGGTTTTGTAGGCAAACATTAATGCCTTGAATTTAATGCGAGCAGCTACTGGTAGCCAGTGCAAATTGATGAACAGAGGTGTGACATGCGTTCTTTTCGGTTCATTAAAGATTAATCTTGCAGCGGCATTTTGGATTAATTGTAGAGGTTTGATAGAAGTGGCTGGAAGACCTGCCAAGAGAGCATTGCAATAGTCCAGCCTGGATAGAACAAGAGCTTGAACAAGGAGTTGTGTTGCATGTTCTGAAAGAAAGGGCCTGATCTTCCTAATGTTGTATAAAGCAAATCTGCAGGACCGGGCAGTTTTAGCAATGTGGTCTGAGAAATTCAGCTTATCATCAATCACAACTCCAAGGTTTCTAGCTGTTTTTGAAGGAGTTATGGTTGATGAGCCTAACTGGATGGTGAAATTTTGATAAAGTGATGGGTTTGTTGAAACCACAAGCAGTTCTGTCTTAGCCAGGTTGAGTTGAAGGTGATGGTCCGTCATCCAACAAGAAATGTCTGTTAGACATGCTGAGATGCGAGCAGCTATCGTCGGATCATCAGGATGGAATGAGAGGTAGAGTTGAGTGTCATCAGCATAGCAGTGATATGAAAAGCCATGTTTCTGAATGACAGAACCTAGTGATGCCATGTAGACCGAGAAGTGAAGTGGTCTAAGTACTGAGCCCTGAGGCACCCCAGTAGTTAGATGTTGCGACTTGGACACCTCACCTCTCCAAGATACCTTGAAGGACCTATCTGAGAGGTAAGACTCAAACCACTGGCGTGCGGTTCCTGAGATGCCATTTTCCAATAGTGTTGACAGGAGAATCTGGTGGTTCACCGTATCAAAAGCAGCAGACAGATCCAGCAAAATAAGTATAGAAGATTTGGAAGCCTTTCTTGCCAGTCTTAGGGCTTCAACAACTGAAAGCAAGGCAGTCTCGGTCGAATGTCCACTTCTGAAGCCAGATTGGTTGCTGTCCAGGAGGTTGTTCTGTGTGAGAAAGGCTGAGACTTGGTTGAACACAACTCGTTCAAGTGTTTTTGCAATGAAAGGTGAAAGGGAAATCAGTCTGTAGTCCTCTAGAAGAGTTGGGTTAAGAGTGGGTTTCTTAAGAAGTTGGGTTATAGGAGCCTGTTTAAATGTTGAGGGAAAAACACCAGTGTGAAGGGATGTGTTAACGATGTGAGTGAGTGCAGGTACAACGGCAGGAGAAATGGCTTGAAGGAGATGAGATGGAATAGGATCAAGCGGACAAGTAGTAGGATGATTGGAAAGGATGAGTTTAGAGACTTCTGCCTCAGAGAGTGGAGAGAAGGATGGAGAATTTGAATTTAGGAAAAATAACCTACTTCATGGGACCCTAAATATGTAATTTTTGTAAATTGTTGTTAAATTGTATGTAATTTTCTGAATTTTGATTAATTAGACATTTTTTAAAATAAATTTAATTTAACAAAAAAAAAAAACAATTTGGAAAATAAAGGCCCCCAAATTCCTTTTGGAATTTGAATCACGTCATGCTGCTCTTATTTTAGCTCCTATAACGTAAGGGTTAATCCACGGCACACACATGAAACCCTTTTAATGCAGCACCTGACCCGACGAGAACACTAACACTTCAGCTAATGACTACAAGCATTCATTATGATAAAGAGGCACTGAGATCACACTGAGAGACGGTCAGACTCACTGAAGTCCAGGAGGTACAGGTCCGAATGGTCCATGAGGTTGAACTCATCACCCATCCCCTGCTCCGGACACGGACTGAAACACAAGGAAACTCAGCACAACAATCCCATAATGCTTCCTCATCAAACGCCACGAAAACGCTCTGATTGCATGACTTTATTTCTAGAAATTCTCAATTTTATTTATTAGAAATCAGAACAGGAGCAAAAGTCTGGAAACACAAACTTCTTCCATTCTCTGTCTTCAGTAGAGCTGAACTTGTTTCTTAATGAATGCACTTTACACAGTTATTGAACTGAATTGACTGGAGCAGAATAATGATAATATTGTCTTGCCACAGCTGCTTCACAGCAGAATTTTGGATTCATTTTGCATCAATGATTATATTAATTTCCTGTTTATTACTGTAAAGCTGCATTGAAACAATCTCTATTGTATAAAGCGCTATATAAATAAAGGAGACTTTCTTTTTTTGCATGCTTATCCAGACCTGGAAATCACTACAATCAAATCCCATACGTTTCCATTCTGTTTATGCACCCTGTGTCTTAATGATGTGATGATGGTATGAATATGCAGATGTCTGGTTCAGATCTCCTGCTGACGGTTCACCAGTCAACACTAGTTGGGTTTAAACGCACAATCTTTCAGTTTCCCGCTCAGATCTTCAACACGGCCGCTCTCTTCGTCTCATGTTACAATATTGCTAAAAGAGGAAGCTGTAAAGCACACGCACACCTTATCAGGCACAAACACACACAGGACCTGCAGGAAACGCTGGAATATCTCACACAAACATCTGCTTCCTGCTGACACACCTGCACTGAACACCACCTTCATCATCATCATCATCATTTGGAGACCCGTCCCGAACCGCAGCTCCGTCATCCTCCGGTATCTGAGTGCAGGACGTCATTGGGATTTTACGTTCCTGATCTTGCTTAAACAAACAGGCTGCCGGTTTAAAGGGAACCAGAGTGGTTTGGGTCTCGGGAGGCCAGCTGTGGAGCTCATTACACCCCCGACCCACCGGGAGGTCAGCAGCCCGGATTACACCGAGACCTTTATCAGACCCGCCGGCCGTTACATTAACGTACGCACGCTCCTATTTATTTACCTTCATCTGCGGCGCGCTGCTCAGAGTTAATGAAACGTGCCCTATGAACCCTGAGAACGCAACAAACACAAACCACAGACTCACAGAGACACCAGAGCATCAGAGAAGAGCAGAGGACTCATCTCAGGACGACACATTCACAGATTTCACTGTGCTTCGTTAACGCTGAACCTCACTGGTGAAACTCCGGCAGAACCAATGTGCACTTCATTCATACAATGACATCAAACACAAAATCAATAATCACCTTCTTAAAAGGTCACTAATGAAGAAATGAAAGCCCGTTTGATTTGTTTGCCCGTCCGAACCCACTGAGAGGGAGACACTGTTTCTCCACAGAAACCTTCAAACTTCCTTCACAGCAGGATCTCACACACACACACACACACACACACACG